TTAAAAATTATTTAAAAAAAATTATTATTTAGTTAAAAATTATTTCTAAAATAATTTTGTTAGAAAAATTTCGAATAATAAAACTAATTTTAAAAATTATTTAAAAAAATTATTATTCAGTTAAAAATTATTCCTAAAATAATTTTATTAGAAAAATTTCGAAAAATAAAAATTAATTTTAAAAATTAAAAAAAAATTTTTTAGTTAAAAAAATCATTCCTAAAATAATTTTGTTAGAAAAATTTCGAAAAATAAAAACTAATTTTAAAAATTATTTAAAAAAAATTATTATTCAGTTAAAAATCATTCTTAAAATAATTTTGTTAGAGAAATTTCAAGAAACAAAAACTAATTTTTGAAATTAAGTAAAAAAATTATAAGTGGCTGAAATAGTCATTCCTAAAATAATTTTGTTAGAAAAATTTCGAAAAATAAAAACTAATTTTAAAAATTAAAAAAAAATTATTTAGTTAAAAATCATTCCTAAAATAATTTTGTTAGAAAAATTTTGGAAAATAAAAACTAATTTTAAAAATTATTTAAAAAAAATTATTATTTAGTTAAAAATTATTTCTAAAATAATTTTGTTAGAAAAATTTCGAAAAATAAAAACTAATTTTAAAAATTATTTAAAAAAAATTATTATTCAGTTAAAAATCATTCTTAAAATAATTTTGTTAGAAAAATTTCGAAAAATAAAAACTAATTTTAAAAATTATTTAAAAAAAATTATTATTTAGTTAAAAATCATTCCTAAAATAATTTTGTTAGAAAAATTTCGAAAAATAAAAACTAATTTTAAAAATTATTTAAAAAAAATTATTATTCAGTTAAAAATCATTCCTAAAATAATTTTGTTAGAGAAATTTCAAGAAACAAAAACTAATTTTTGAAATTAAGTAAAAAAATTATAAGTGGCTGAAATAGCCATTCCTAAAATAATTTTGTTAGAAAAATTTCGAATAATAAAACTAATTTTAAAAATTATTTAAAAAAAATTATTATTCAGTTAAAAATTATTCCTAAAATAATTTTATTAGAAAAATTTCGAAAAATAAAAATTAATTTTAAAAATTAAAAAAAATTTTTTAGTTAAAAAAATCATTCCTAAAATAATTTTGTTAGAAAAATTTCGAAAAATAAAAACTAATTTTAAAAATTATTTAAAAAAAATTATTATTCAGTTAAAAATCATTCCTAAAATAATTTTGTTAGAAAAATTTCGAATAATAAAACTAATTTTAAAAATTAAAAAAAAAATTATTTAGTTAAAAATCGTTCTTAAAATAATTTTGTTAGAGAAATTTCAAGAAACAAAAACTAATTTTTGAAATTAAGTAAAAAAATTATAAGTGGCTGAAATAGTCATTCCTAAAATAATTTTATTAGAAAAATTTCGAAAAATAAAAATTAATTTTAAAAATTAAAAAAAATTTTTTAGTTAAAAAAATCATTCCTAAAATAATTTTGTTAGAAAAATTTCGAAAAATAAAAACTAATTTTAAAAATTATTTAAAAAAAATTATTATTCAGTTAAAAATCATTCCTAAAATAATTTTGTTAGAAAAATTTCGAATAATAAAACTAATTTTAAAAATTAAAAAAAAATTATTTAGTTAAAAATCGTTCTTAAAATAATTTTGTTAGAGAAATTTCAAGAAACAAAAACTAATTTTTGAAATTAAGTAAAAAAATTATAAGTGGCTGAAATAGTCATTCCTAAAATAATTTTGTTAGAAAAATTTCGAAAAATAAAAACTAATTTTAAAAATTATTTAAAAAAAAATTATTATTTAGTTAAAAATTATTCCTAAAATAATTTTGTTAGAGAAATTTCAAGAAACAAAAACTAATTTTTGAAATTAAGTAAAAAAATTATAAGTGGCTGAAATAGTCATTCCTAAAATAATTTTGTTAGAAAAATTTCGAAAAATAAAAACTAATTTTAAAAATTATTTAAAAAAAATTATTATTCAGTTAAAAATCATTCCTAAAATAATTTTGTTAGAGAAATTTCAAGAAACAAAAACTAATTTTTGAAATTAAGTAAAAAAATTATAAGTGGCTGAAATAGTCATTTCTAAAATAATTTTGTTAGAAAAATTTCGAAAAATAAAAATTAATTTTAAAAATTAAAAAAAATTTTTTAGTTAAAAAAATCATTCCTAAAATAATTTTGTTAGAAAAATTTCGAAAAATAAAAACTAATTTTAAAAATTATTTAAAAAAAATTATTATTCAGTTAAAAATCATTCCTAAAATAATTTTGTTAGAAAAATTTCGAATAATAAAACTAATTTTAAAAATTAAAAAAAAATTATTTAGTTAAAAATCGTTCTTAAAATAATTTTGTTAGAGAAATTTCAAGAAACAAAAACTAATTTTTGAAATTAAGTAAAAAAATTATAAGTGGCTGAAATAGTCATTCCTAAAATAATTTTGTTAGAAAAATTTCGAAAAATAAAAACTAATTTTAAAAATTATTTAAAAAAAATTATTATTCAGTTAAAAATCATTCCTAAAATAATTTTGTTAGAAAAATTTCGAATAATAAAACTAATTTTAAAAATTAAAAAAAAATTATTTAGTTAAAAATCGTTCTTAAAATAATTTTGTTAGAGAAATTTCAAGAAACAAAAACTAATTTTTGAAATTAAGTAAAAAAATTATAAGTGGCTGAAATAGTCATTCCTAAAATAATTTTGTTAGAAAAATTTCGAAAAATAAAAACTAATTTTAAAAATTATTTAAAAAAAAATTATTATTTAGTTAAAAATTATTCCTAAAATAATTTTGTTAGAGAAATTTCAAGAAACAAAAACTAATTTTTGAAATTAAGTAAAAAAATTATAAGTGGCTGAAATAGTCATTCCTAAAATAATTTTGTTAGAAAAATTTCGAAAAATAAAAACTAATTTTAAAAATTATTTAAAAAAAATTATTATTCAGTTAAAAATCATTCCTAAAATAATTTTGTTAGAGAAATTTCAAGAAACAAAAACTAATTTTTGAAATTAAGTAAAAAAATTATAAGTGGCTGAAATAGTCATTTCTAAAATAATTTTGTTAGAAAAATTTCGAAAAATAAAAACTAATTTTAAAAATTATTTAAAAAAAAATTATTATTCAGTTAAAAATCATTCCTAAAATAATTTTGTTAGAGAAATTTCAAGAAACAAAAACTAATTTTTGAAATTAAGAAAAAAAATTATAAGTGGCTGAAATAGTCATTATTTAAATAATTTTGTTAAAGAAATTTCGAAAAATAAAAACTAATTTTAAAAATTATTTAAAAAAAACTATTATTTAATCAAAAAATATTCTTAAAATAATTTTGTTAGAGAAATTTTGAAAATAAAAACTAATTTAAAAACTATTAAAAAATTATAAGGCTAAATAGTTACTACTTAAATACCTTCATTAGATAAATTTCGAGAAATAAAAATTATTTATTAAAAATTTCCTTAACAAAATTATTTTAATAAAAAATAAGGACGTGTAAAATTTAAAAAAGTAGAAAAAAAAATTATTTATCAAAAATTTATATAAAAAATTATTTGAATAAAAAATAAGGACGTACAAAATTTAAAAAATTAGTAAAAAATTATTTATCGAAAATTTATATAAAAAATTATTTGAATAAAAAATAAGGACGTATAAAATTTAAAAAAGTAGTAAAAAATTATTTATCAAAAATTTATATAAAAAATTATTTGAATAAAAAATAAGGACGTGTAAATTTAAAAAATTAGTAAAAAATTATTTATCGAAAATTTATATAAAAAATTATTTGAATAAAAAATAAGGACGTATAAAATTTAAAAAAGTAGTAAAAAATTATTTATCAAAAATTTATATAAAAAATTATTTGAATAAAAAATAAGGACGTGTAAAATTTAAAAAAGTAGAAAAAAAATTATTTATCAAAAATTTATATAAAAAATTATTTGAATAAAAAATAAGGACGTACAAAATTTAAAAAATTAGTAAAAAATTATTTATTGAAAATTTATATAAAAAATTATTTGAATAAAAAATAAGGACGTACAAAATTTAAAAAAGTAGTAAAAAATTATTTATCGAAAATTTATATAAAAAATTATTTGAATAAAAAATAAGGACGTACAAAATTTAAAAAATTAGTAAAAAATTATTTATCGAAAATTTATATAAAAAATTATTTGAATAAAAAATAAGGACGTACAAAATTTAAAAAAGTAGTAAAAAATTATTTATCGAAAATTTATATAAAAAATTATTTGAATAAAAAATAAGGACGTGTAAAATTTAAAAAGGTAGAAAAAATTATTTATCGAAAATTTATATAAAAAATTATTTGAATAAAAAATAAGGACGTACAAAATTTAAAAAAGTAGTAAAAAATTATTTATCGAAAATTTATATAAAAAATTATTTGAATAAAAAATAAGGACATATAGAATTTAAAAAAGTAAAAAAAATTATTTATCTAAAATTTATAAAAATTTATTTGAATAAAAAATAAGAACGTAAAAAATTTAAAAAATATATTTTACTTGTTATTTTTAAAATTTTTAGTGTCCTTATTTTTTATTAAAAAGTGAATGGGAGGAATTTACTAATAAATAAGTCAATAGAAAATTTTATTTCTTTTTTATACTTTCAAAGTATATACTTATACAAGTTCATAGACTAATTAAAAAAGATTATTTTATCTCAAACTTTGTTTATAATAGGATTAATCAAATAATAAAAAAAGTATAAAATAGTTAGTAACTGGCCTGTAAGAATATAGGGGTCTTCTACAGGGCGTGCTCCAATTCAAGTTAGTAAGATAACAATAGTGAATATTGATCAAAATAAAAGTTTATTAATAGGGTAAAATTGGGTTCTTGAGAATTTTTTTTTATTAGTAAAGGGGATAATGTATAGAATAGCAATTGATATTACTAAAGCGATTACGCCTCCTAATTTATTCGGGATTGAACGAAGGATCGCATAGGCAAATAAAAAATATCACTCTGGTTGGATATGAACAGGGGTTACTAGCGGATTAGCTGGAATAAAGTTGTCTGGATCTCCTAATATATATGGTGTGTTTAATGTTAAAAATACTAAAAAAAAAGTTATAACTAGTATTCCTATAATATCTTTAAAAGTAAAATAAGGGTGGAATGGGATTTTATCAATATTACTTTTTGTTCCCAGAGGATTGTTGGACCCTGTTTGGTGCAGAAAAAGTAAGTGTATAATCACTAAAGCAGAAACGATAAAAGGGAGGAGAAAGTGAAACCTAAAAAATCGAGTTAATGTTGCATTATCAACAGCGAAGCCTCCTCAAATTCATTGAACAATAAGAGTTCCTAAATAAGGAATGGCTGAAAGTAAATTGGTAATAACTGTAGCTCCTCAAAAAGATATTTGCCCTCAGGGGAGAACGTAACCTAAGAATGCTGTTGCTATAACTATAAAAAAAATAGTAACTCCAATTATTCAAGTTTCTAATAGGTAATAAGATCTATAATAGATTCCTCGACCAATATGAATATATAAACAAATAAAAAAAAAAGATGCCCCGTTAGCGTGGAGAGTTCGGATTAATCATCCGTAATTTACATTACGACAAATATGAGCCACCCTATTAAATGCTATATCTACATTAGGGCAGTAATGTATGGCTAAGAATAATCCAGTAATAATTTGAATTATTAGGCATAATCCTAAAAGGGATCCAAAATTTCATATAGTAGTAATATTAGAGGGGGTTGGTAGATCAATTAAAGAATTATTTAAAATTTTAATTAATGGGTGAGTTTTACGTAAATTTATTTTCATTAGTATATTTGTCGTAAGGGTCCTTTGTTTATTTTAGTAATTTTGACTGTTATAATTAATGTAATTAATAAATAAATAATTATTATATATATAACTATATTATTTGGGTAATTAAAATATTTATTTAAAGTTAAATAATTATTGATGAAAAAATTTTGATTATAAAAATCTATTGTTGAGAAAGGTAGGCTAAATAAAAATTGATCTGTAACTTGAAAGACAAAATTTAAAGTTAAACTAATAAAGAATACTAATAATAATAATCTGGATAATTTGAATTTTTTATTGGAGGCGATCCTTGTTATATAGATAAATAAAATAAGTATACCTCCAATTATGATTAAAAAAATAATATAGGAAAATCAAAAATTATAATTTATTAATCCGGTTAATAAGGTTACTAAAATAGTTTGAAGTAGGAGGATAATGCCTATAGAAAGAGGGTGTTTTATAAATATAAATATAATTGTTATAGTTCTTATAAAAATAATTAATATTGATATAATTTCAAGAAATAGTTTAATTAAAATTTTAATTTTGGAGATTAAAGATAGGGGAGTACTCTTTTTCTTGATGTCTTAAAAGAAAAATCTTATTTTTGGTTTACAAGACCAAAATTTTATAATTAAATTATTAAAACTTAATGCTAATATTTATATTTATATTATTAATATTTATTTCGGGATTATCAGTTTTTATTATAAAACGGGACCATTTATTGTTAATACTTTTAAGTTTAGAATTTATTGTTATTTCTTTATACTTAATTTTTGTATTTCATTTAAAAATAATAAATTATGAATTTTTTTTTTCTATAATTTTTTTAACTATGAGAGTTTGTGAGGGTGTACTAGGTTTATCTATTTTAGTATCAATTATTCGCATTCACGGAAATGATAATATTTTAACTTTTTCTTCTTTATGATAAAATTTTTATTAAGTTTAATATTTTTAGTTCCTTTTTGTTTTTTATATAATTTTTGATTATTAGTAAGGGTTATATTTATTTTATCTTTTTTATTTATAATAAATTATAGTTTTAATTATATTTATTTAAATATTTCTTATATTTTAGGGAGGGATTTACTTAGATATACATTAATTTTATTGAGTTTTTGAATTTGTAGGATGATACTATTGGCAAGTGGAAAAATTTATAAAAATAATAATTATTATTATTTATTTAATTTAATAGTATTATTTTTATTAATTAGATTATTTTTAGTTTTTTCTTCTTTAAATTTATTTGTTTTTTATTTGTTTTTTGAAATTAGATTAATTCCCACTTTAATTTTAATTTTAGGGTGAGGCTATCAACCAGAGCGAATTGAAGCTGGGATGTATTTATTATTTTATACGTTATTAGTTTCGTTACCAATAATAATTTCAATTTTTTTTTATTATAATAATTATAGATCTATAATATTAATATATATAAATTGTCAAATAAATTTATTAATTTATTTATGTATGAATATAGTTTTTTTTGTAAAAATACCTATATTTTTTATTCATTTATGATTGCCAAAAGCTCATGTAGAAGCCCCTGTATCTGGATCAATAATTTTAGCTGGGATTATATTAAAATTAGGGGGGTATGGTCTAATTCGTTTAATATCTTTATTTATTGAGATTGGCTTAAAAATTAATTATATTTTTATTGTTATTTCTTTAATTGGGGGTTTTATTGTTTCATTGATTTGTTTACGTCAAAGTGATATAAAATCTTTAATTGCTTATTCTTCAGTGGCCCATATAGGGCTAGTATTGTCAGGGATTATAACTATAAATATTTGGGGATTTTGAGGTTCATTGGCTATAATATTAGCTCATGGTTTGTGTTCATCAGGGTTATTTTGCTTAGCTAATATTACTTATGAACGCACAATAAGGCGAAGTCTTTATTTAAATAAGGGCCTGATTAATATTATACCTAATTTATCTTTATGGTGATTTTTGTTATGTTCGTCTAATATGGCAGCTCCTCCTTCTTTAAATTTATTAGGGGAAATTGTATTAATTAATAGGTTGATTTCTTTTATTTCATTTAGAATAGTATTATTAATATTTTTATCTTTTTTTAGGGCAGCATATTCATTATTTTTATTTTCTTATTCACAGCACGGGGTTCTTTATTCAGGTTTATTTTCTATGTACCAAGGCCTTAGACGAGAATATTTATTATTATTTTTACATTGGTTTCCTTTAAATTTACTTATTTTAAAGGGGGAATTATGAATTTTATTTATTTATTTAAATAGTTTAATAATAAAATATTGATTTGTGGTATCAAAGATGTAAATTTTTACTTTAAATAATAAAAATTACTAAAATTTATTTTTATATTTTTATATTTTTTTGTATTTTAAATTTACTTTTTAGTTTAAATTTTATTATTAAAGATTGTACTATTTTAATTGAATATGAGTTATTTGTTTTAAATTCTAGTTTAATTGTGATAATTATTATATTAGATTGAATATCTTTAATATTTTTAAGATTTGTTTTGTTTATTTCATCTATAGTTATTTATTATAGGGAAGAATATATAGAAGGGGATTTTTATTTAAGTCGATTTATTTTATTAGTAGTTATATTTGTTATATCCATAATATTATTAATTATTAGTCCTAACTTAATTTCAATTTTATTAGGCTGAGATGGTTTAGGGTTAGTTTCGTATGTTTTAGTAATTTATTATCAAAATTTTAAATCCTTTAATGCAGGAATATTAACAGCTTTATCTAATCGAATTGGAGATGTAGCTATTTTAATAGCAATTGCTTGAATAGTGAATTTTGGTAGTTGAAATTATATTTTTTATCTTGATTTGATGAAAAATGATTTCATTATAGAATTAATTAGTTATTTAGTAGTTTTAGCGGCTATAACTAAAAGAGCCCAAATTCCTTTTTCTTCTTGGTTGCCCGCTGCTATAGCAGCCCCTACTCCTGTGTCTTCATTAGTTCATTCTTCAACGTTAGTAACAGCAGGGGTTTATTTACTTATTCGATTTAATTTTACTTTATCTGAATTTTTAATGTATTTTTTATTATTTATGGCTAGAATAACAATATTTATGTCGGGTATAGGGGCAAATTTTGAATATGATTTGAAAAAAATTATTGCATTATCAACTTTGAGCCAATTAGGATTAATAATAAGAATTTTAGCATTAGGGGGTTACAAATTGGCTTTTTTTCACTTATTGACTCATGCTTTATTTAAGGCACTTTTATTTATATGTGCTGGAAATATAATTCATAATTTAGGAAGTTGTCAAGATATTCGTTATATGGGTAGATTATTAAGAGCAATACCTTTAACTTGTGTCTTTTTTAATATTTGTAATTTTTCATTATGTGGATTACCCTTTTTATCAGGGTTTTATTCTAAAGATTTAGTTGTAGAATTCATGTCTATGAATTATTTAAGTATTTATATTTATATAATTTATTATATTTCTATTGGTTTAACTGTGAGTTATAGGTTTCGATTAATATATTATACATTAATTGGGAATTTTAATTTTTTATCTTTACATGGAGTTGGGGAATTTGGATATTTAATATTAAAAGGTATGGGAGGTTTAATTATATTTGTAATTTTTAGTGGGAGAATTCTTAGATGACTGACATTTAATGAACCTGTTTTTATTTGCCTTCCTTTTTTATTAAAAATTATAACTTTATTAATAATTATAAGAGGTTCATTTATGGGTTACGAGTTAGCTAAATTTAAATTAAATTATTCTATAAAAAGATTAAAATATTTAATTCTTAGCTATTTTTTAGCTATAATATGAAACATACCAGTTATTTCAACTTTAGGGGTAAATTTTTATCCTTTATTTTTAGGAAAATTGTATACAAAAATTTTTGATCAAGGTTGATTTGAATATTATGGGGGAAAAAATCTAAAAGTTTTAACTAATTATTCTAATTTTATTCAAATTTTTTCTTATAATTATTTAAAATTGTATTTTATTTTAATAATTTTATGATTATTGTTTTTATTAATATTATATTTAAATAGCTTATAAATAAGAGCATAGTATTGAAGATACTAAGGAAATAGAAATTATTTTTAAATATTTATAAGGAAAGGGCCTATCCTAATTTTACAATGAAAATGTAATGTTTTATATAAACTATATAAATAGAAATACAAACGAAATTTCATCGCTTAAAGATTAAGTTAGAAGCTTATCTTTGAATTTCGTATTTCCTTAATTGGAGAAATTTCTCAATTTGATCATTAACAGTGATATACCTCTTTTTGGTTTCAATTAAAAATTTAATTAAAAATAAGGATATATTATAATATCAAATTTTTAGGTCGAAACTAAATGCAATTTTTTGCTTCTTATTTTATAGTTAAATTTAGTTTATTTTTGATTTTGAGTTAAATATAAAAAATATTTATTTATTAAGATAAATTGGCTTATTTCCAATATTTTTTAAATGCAACTTAAATGTTATGATTAACTATTATCCTTAATTTATTCATTCTAAAGCTCCTTGTTTTCATTCATGGTAAAGGCCTAGCAATAAAATAAGTACAAAAAAAATTATAATTAGGGAATAGCTTATTGAATTAGAAATTGCTAATCTGGGAATTATGGGAAGTAAAAGAGTAATTTCTACATCGAAAATTAAAAAAATAATAGCAATTAAAAAAAATGTAATGAAAATGGTAATCGAGCGGAGGTCTTTGGATCAAAGCCGCATTCGAATGGCCCTGCTTTTTTCTCGATCTATAAACTTTTTTTAGAGCACCATATTTAAGATAAAAATTAAAAAAATGAAATTAAAAAAATAACAGTGGCTTAAAAAAATCATTATTTTAATTATTTATACTAAGAATTTTTTCTAGATTTTTTTAA